AGAAAACAAGGAAACAAAAAGTAAATATGAAATAATCATTGTGTGGAATACAGGGAAGAAGACAGGTGAGTCCTGTTAGTGGATTCCGTGTTTCAAACCCATGCTCTGTATATCTTGTACATATCACAGACCCAAATCTGTGGATTGACTTAATAAACATGCCTTATAATATTATCCCCCTTTTAATGTATAAACAGTAATTTTTTTCATGTAACTGCACCAGTGCACAGTCTGATGTCAGAAGTCAGACTTCATAGCTCCCAAACACTCATGATATTAACAAGGGAAGAAGCAGGAGAGCAAAGACCAGGGAGATGGAGCCTTTGCTTACTGTACATCCCTTCTGCATCCTCATCTCTTCAGTCCCCTGAGCCACCTTAGGAGGCAGGTTTTATTGTTCTCTCTCTCTTTTAAAACCATCATTGAAATTACCTTATGTTGTTCGCCCTGGGATGCAGGCTGGAATGGTCTGCAAGGTGATTCAAACGCAGGCAGTCCATTCTGCTGGGAGATATGTACTTGGGGTTTGCTTCTCTAGAAAAGTCTCGTTTTGGTAAAGTCAGCCTGGACTTATGAGTGCCATGGGATCCATTTGGCCAATAGGAACTTCAGGGCGGCTGGAAATGTCCCGCTTGGTGACAGATGTTGTTGAACATCAAAGATCTTCTAGACTGCTTGCTTCATCGGTCAAACTCAATTTGGGGAAGGTGTTGACTCATGGACACAGTTGTTTTGTGTTCGGGCCGGGTGTGTACTCAGTCCGTGAGAATACTTCCTTTTAGTTCAGTGTCATGGAAAATTGGCAAGTGAGTCTTTATTAAAAAAAAAGCAAAAATAATAAACAAACAAACGAACAAATAAATGAATGAATGAATAAATAAAAGTGAAAGGTGGGGACAGGGTGCTGACACTGATCTTGTTTACAAAGGTGTTGGGGTCCACCCCTACCCCCACCCCACCCCCGCTTCACAGACAGCATTTCAGAGATGGTCAGTTGCTTTGTCTTGGCTGACACAAAACTCCGTTGTTTGTCCAACTGTTGTCAAATCACACTTTGACATTTGCATAGCCAGGAAGTGCTTGAGAAGAAAGTCCCAACATTTCCCTGTATTATTTTTGTAGTAATTATGAGTAAAGTTTATTTTTAGCTTTCTGGCAGTAATTATTTATCACAGCTCTTATTTTAACTTTGCAAAGAAAGCTGCACTTCCTGGTTGCCTGGAATGGAAATGCATTCCACATACTAACTCCTGGAAGACGGAGTAGGTTTCCATGTGCTTTAATGAGACAAATTCCAGGATTCTTGGGTAACGATGAATTCTTGGTGGCAAAGCAGTTCAACAGGAATATAACACAGGAATGATTACTCACCATTACCCGACATCACATACAAAGCTTTTCTTTGTCTAACTTGTTTAAAATGTACAAAGATTGGAAATATGTGTGGAATCATAAAAAGAGAAGAATCTACTTTGTTCTAGCAGATTAGCAGAATGAAAACATGCACACGTTGTTTTGCATCTGAATCTGGCTGGGCTGCATACCAGCTCTGGTTCTGTCTGGTGCAACACACTGGGTACATTTCATCTTTGAGTCAAGCGAGATTTCATTAGGATATTACAACGTGCCAATGTGCCTGGATATGACTCCGCTTGCGTTCTTAAATGTTAGCAGCATTATTTCACTGGTGGTACTCTCTCTCACGGAATCTCATTAGGGTCTGCCCAAGAAGAGAAGGCTTGGGTAAAATCGAATCGTTTGTCACGTCTGCTGTGCACCTGCATTGTGACACGCTCTCAGAGGGTGATTCGAAAATAAAACCATCTCTGGTCTCTTCCCCCGGAATATCATACCGGAAAAGTCATAAATGAAAGGCCCGTTTGGCAAAGCAAGAGAAAGAAAGGAAAAGAAAAGGGCATCTTAAAATATTCATAGCCATAGTTTCTGCTCCCTCCATAGTTTTGTGCTTGAAGGATTGGCTGAAATATCAGTGGATTAACCACTATTGACCTCTGTCTTGGGAACCTTAAAAATGGAATATTTCATATTCTAGTCCCTTGGTAGGTTAAAAAATGCTTTTCTGACTTGACATATTGCATAAGCTGACAATTTCTGAGAAAGTACTAATTGACCTAACAGCAATGGTCTTTCCATGTACAGCAAATGTGAAGTCAAATGCAAAGAATTTGGCTGCAGGAATTCAATGTTATTTAAATAGACCTCAGAAATGTGGGGCTCAGACCTGTGGTTCCTTTTTGTGGATTAAGACAAGATGAGTTTAAAGCTGAAACAGAGCAAAGTCATTGATAATTTTCTTTGCATTCTGCCTCTCTCACAGCTTTAAGAGCCCTGGTTTGTGTATTCATTGAACAGGGGAGATCACTATTTCTTCAGCGTGTGACCTCGGGGTTTCAAGCGCGCATAGTCTTTGCTCAAGTCTGTTTGGTCATAGAGCCTTGCTGTCGGGACAATAGGTGACTGAAGCTTGGACGTGGTGTGTTGAGTGTGCCAGTCAAGCCTCCTTGTCTCCTTGTAAGTCCACTCATATGGATGCTGGCAGGCCACAGTTCCAAGCTTGCTGTTGGCTGGAGGCTTCAGTTTTTCTATCATGTAGACTGCTCCAAAGGTTGCTCACACATCACAGCAACTAGCTCTCTTCCCAAGAGAGAAAGGGGACGGGGGGGGGGGGGGGGGGGGAGCGGGGAGACGCCTATTGTAGTAGCAGCAGTAGCAATTTTTACAACTTAATCTTAAAAGTACATATTCTCTCTTGTGTCATAGTCTTTTGGTAACGAAGTTCAAATCTGTCACTGGTAGGAATTCCAACCATGCCCCATGGTCGCGCATGCCCGTCAGGGACACTTAGTCATCTCCACCTAGTCATTTCTGGGTCATATGTCCTGAATGACCCATGCCCCATGGTTACGGGGTCATGTAGTCATGTGGACATGACTTCGTGATCTCTGTGCATGGGTCTATGTACACAGGTGCATCCTGGCCTTTATAAGGTGACGCCATGTTCCCCCGTCTCTCCATATCTCTCTCTCTCTCTCTCTCTCTCTCTCTCTCTCTCTCTCTCTCTCTCTCTCGGATATGTCCTTCCACAGGCCTAGTCACATCTATCCCTTTCTCTTTGTCTTGATAAAACTCTTGTTAGTGGATTCTGTCGTGTGTTGTGACTTTTCCTTTGGGGTAAGAGCACTGTTAAAAGCCAACAGTCACAACGTGGCAGAAAACTACACAGGGGTGTGACTACATCAAGAGGGGCTGATGGTGGTGACTGCGACTAATTGCCATCAGGTGTGCTTTTACTTCAGACAACTTTCTGTAGAACTTTCCACTTTCTGTTACGTTGACAGGGGTATAAGGTAACAAAAGGAGGACATTCAACAGTCCTAGTGGCTTTGTTGGTGGGTATTTGAAATGACAAACTATGTTCTATTTAACTTGAAGATGGATGGTTTTAAAAAGAGGATCAAGCTTGACTCAACTGAAAGCTGGCAATGCGTCCTAAGAGTGTAATTTAAACTGTTGCTGACACACCAGTAACATCAATGGTCAATGGTGTGGTGTCTTCATAGTCTGCATATTCATTTAAAAGCATATTCCTATGTCTCAAAACTTGTCATCAATTATAATATATGAATTTTAGACCTAGCTAGTGTTTATATTTTCAGTTATTTATGACTATTTTCTAAAACTGTCTCTAATGTGCTATTATTACATTTGAATAGAAATGCAAATTTCTCTTTGTACCGGAAAATGTGTTTAACTCATTTGATGACTGAAATTGCTTGGGACTCTAGTGTCCAGATTATGCTTTGAACAGCAGAAGAAAGAATGTGTGATAATGGATCCTGACACCACACACAATCCATTAGCTACTTTATTAATTAACGTCTTTTGGGATGTGGTTTATAGGTGGGCCATGAAGGATGTAGAGCGGTTGAGAAATAAGAAAATCAAGTTAGGACGCTAAAGAAAACCTTCTGTCCATGCAGAAGACTACTCCAGAGCTTTGGGGAATGAAAGAGGACTGTGTCCTCAGAAATAGGTGCATCGTCTTGAGCTTAGTTTCTGTTTGTGTTCTCTTTGAAGGTTCTCAGGAGCTTGACACTGGGGAGGAACTTAGCTGGGGATCTGAGATGGTGGGAAGGGCCGCCTGACTCGATACCTCATGCATGACGTTAAGAAGTATTGGGAGTATCAAATGCTTTTGACAGAAGATCCCAGTTACTCCAGTAGCACACTGTGTCCAGCCCTTGGAGGATGGAAGCCGGCCCAGGACACACTTTACAACCTTCACAACAGGCATCCCTCTTTCAGGGCCCTCAGTCCTTCTGTGGAGAGGGTGTGCAGATTTCAGTGTCGCTGGAAGGACTGGTCAGGCAGGCTGGGTCTGGACAGGGTTCCTGGAGGCTTAAAGCTGATTACAGGATTGGTTATCCTGCTCTCAGCTTCTGGACTCTGAATTGCTAGAAAAGCTTCCTGTGTGGACCTCTAATCTCCGGTGGTATTAGCTGGCTTCTTAGATACCGCCTTTACTCACTGGCAAGGTCAGATCCAGGGTTTTTGAGCTTCTTAGAAAACAGCACGCAATCCAAATATGCAATAGTTCTAAAAATGGATATTTATTTAGGATGTAAAAGGCATGCAAAGTCTCTGTCCAGGTCCACAAACAGTGCAAAGCCAGGGGGGAGAAAAAACAAGACAAAACCAAAAACAAACAAACAAACCAATAAAAAACAGAATAGCTATTTGGCCCTACACATTTTTTTAAGGATATTTCTTTTTCTTTTTGCTACCCCAAAACTGTGTAGCTGAACCCTGTGGGACAAACTGAAGTCACAATATTACTTTATGTCTTGCATCTGTGTCCCAGCACTGTGGTAAGTATACACAGAAGTCCTTATAAACCACATGAACATAATCACGCTGAACCCAAGCTAAAAGATTCCCAATGCAACCTCACTCTGTTAGACACTCACAACGTGCACAGCTATTCTAGAACTTCCTACGCAAGGGGAAATGGAAGGCAAGTCAGACAGAGAAAGAAACAGTTTCATCTACGGCAGTTAAAATACCTCCATTTTCCAAGGTCTAAAACACAGGACCCCGGGCTTAGGGCTCTTCTTGGAGTCTCTGAGAAGTCAAGAACTTTGAAGTTAAGTCTGGTTAACTTTGCTGGAAACCCATCTCTGATCCTTCCATTGAAACCATTATCCCGAAATGTGTGATGAAAGCAGGATCATTATCCTTTGCCTGGCTTTTAACCTTTGTCGTTCCGCCTGGCAGCCTTGGAACTCTGGGAAGCACGATGCCCTCGTGTCCCTGGTCAGCTGACTCAGACAGGATGTGCTTTTTCTCTGTCAAATTCAGCATTTAGGTCCTGTGTTTTAGAAAACCAAAGGAATGAAACTGTTAGAGGCCATTTGGGCCTGCTGTAGCAATCCTTATTGCTCTTTCCCTACTACAGATTGAACCCTGAAAGGAAGGGTTAATCCACTGTTGGCTTGCTATCCAGTCACACCCATGGAGCTGTCTTCAAAGGTATTTCTATTCTCTACAGGTAAGACAACGGATGCCCCCACCCCCGCCCCTCACTGTGGACAAGGACTGATAATAATCAGAAGAGGAAATCATTAGCTTTTTTAGACTGTCATCCACATAACCATTAACCCTGTGAGTTGTAGCAAGCCGACCCGATCCATCTCTGCCTCCATCCTCAGTGTTTCTTTCCCAAGTCCACGTGAATTGACCGCGCACCTTGCAGGGTAATGAATATCCCCGGTTAGATTTTAGTTTAATCCATCAAATGTGTCCATTAGCATAAGGAATTTGTGTGGCCCCCACCCTGGGGAAAGTTGTGCAAACCTCAGCCAGTCGTGACAGGACAAGTCCAGAGCTCTAGGGACTCTGGTTTTTCAGGCTATCGCATTCCAGTCTTACTTTCCATCTTCCTAACGTCAACTAATTATCGCCCTCACTAATCTAACACATAGCACAGAAGCTTAGCCGTTCACTCGAGCTGCGGTTCCCATTCCCCCCCCACCCCGACTTTTCTTTCAGATCCCTCCTCCTACCTTTTATTAATCAATTCGTAGGTGAACAAAAGTCTACTCCTTCTTGTCCAATTCTGAATTTTCAGTCGATGGTGGCAAGGTTTTCTGATCTCTCCTGGTGGGGGATTTGGGCAAAAGTCAGATCTCCTGCTGTTCACAACACCTGACTGAACTTGGAAGGAAAAGTAGGTAATGAGACCAACTTAATCAGCGGGCTGGGGATGTTTTGTTTTGTTTTGTTGTTTTGTTTTCCTGTGCTTGTCTCTTCTTTTGAGCTCTCCTCTGCTATATAACCCCAAGTAAAATCATGCACAACTTAGGTATATGTTTAATTCAAAAGCATTCTGTGGAGAGATCAAACTGAAATTTCATCTTAAATAGACCTATTCATTCAGTGCTTTGGAGGCTAGCCAAGAATGAACTCCAAATGTGAGACTCTCCCTCAGCAACTGGAAGCCCGTAGTCCACGTGACTACAACCTGTATTTTCAAACGGCCAATAGAGCAAGCTTCAAATGCTCTCAAGCTGTGATTAGGCTCATATGGAGAGATAAACAGAGGCCCCAAACTGTGCACTGAATATATAAGTCATCAAAGCAATTTTAAAATCAATTCAACCTTTGACAAGCAGCCAGTACAGTTCCCCTGTGATTTGAGTGACATGCTCAGGCTTCTACTCCGAGTGAAATTCTGACAGCACTGTTTTTATGCATGTGGGAACCCATGAAGGACCCCTCCTCCTCACTCCCCACCCCAAGGAAAACCATCATGAAGCATTACAATGGTGTCTCTGTGAGATCACTAACACATGGGCAGCACTCGACTGTGAGGGCATTGATGAAATTTCTAGTGACTAGGCAAAAGAGCCCAAGACCCAAGAGCTCACAGTACAGCCTCATCTACATTCCTATCAAGCAAAAGGAATAATCAGGCTGGAATCTAGAGATAACTGAAAACAGTCTTCTTCTAAGGATGGGTGCTTTGTTGTTGTTTAGGAGGAACAGGGTGAGGACAGGGGAGATTCTCAGTGATTAACAGAGTGGCAGGCCCTCATATTTAAGACAGGGCTCCTTAGAAAGCTTGTTATCCCGTGGACAGCTTTCTTCTTTATATAAATACCAGTCCCACCACCACACCTCTTTTGTTACCCTGGGAAGTGTTCCTGGCTCTTCCAGACCCAGAGAAAACCTGATGGGGGAATATGATGGAACAGGAGTTTGGCTCTCAAGCTTCCCTTTCTAGTCTGACTTCCAGCCGTGGTCCCTCCAGGTTTTGCTCACCTGAACTGAAGCACTAATTACCACCGTTTCTTCTTGGTGACTCAGGAGAGACAAATGAATCACAGCTGTGATTCTGATGCTAGCCACACTCTCACTCACCATAAAGGGCTCAAAGCCACATTGTCTCCCTGACCTTCTTCGCTTCTGCTTCCTTTCAGCCTGGATTTATCACCCGCTGGAGCTCTTTTGCTCCTGGCTTCCTACCAGCCTTTCTCTTCCTTTTCCATTCAGAGTTCCAGTCATAATAGGCCCTGCGCGTTCTCTCCTGCTCCATCATCGTATCTCTAGTTCTCATGCTCCAAGGCAGCACGTGTATCAGAGGTACCACACACCAAGGCTCCACACACAACATAATAGAGACTTTGTTCTGTGTTTTTGCTCAGCTCTCTTCCTTGGACAAAGAGTGGTATACATTCCTGCGCCTGGAGAAATAATCAATAATATTACTAAAGATGCTGGAACAAAGCCCAGGTACATTTTTACTGAATGAAGATCATAAACAAGGTTTGGCTGCTTCCTTTCTGAAACCTTCTCAGGGAAGGCAAAGTCGTGGAGCCCTGCTCTGCTTTTCTCCATGGAGGCGAGGTATAGACATAGGACAACCTCTGCGGAGACGAAGAGTATATCCAAGGTCAGATCATGTCAATCTCCTGATGAATAGATACCCGCCCCCCCCATTTCCTATGACATGTGAGGACCCCCTAGGTGAGCTGCCCATCTTTCTAATCTCATTCCAGGGCACTCTCTTCTGTTATTTTGGTTCCATGCTAAGATACTGGCAAGGGGCTACCCCTTCTGTTCAGCATGCTCTTCTCATGCATCCCGGCCTATTAATCAACATCTAATTTGTAGCTTAACTACTTACTCTTTGGTTCATTGTCTTTACTGTTTCCTCTATGTTGCCTCTGGACAATTATAGCTCTATGTGCTAATCATCCTCTGGTAGAACAAGCGCTGTTAGGACAGGACGCTTTTATCGTGGTCACCAACATCTAAAGCAATGGCTGGAAACATCCAGTAAATAGCTGTCGTATAGAAAACGGGTCGAGTGTCACAGATGGACCAACCACAGTCCTTTTGCAAAGTGACCAACCTGCGGAAATGTTTTTGGAAAACAATGTGCCCTGTCTGCACTCATAAATGAAACTGGCCTACAAAATTAGGACCTTTCAGAAACTGTGCATGCGTTTGTTGGGCCTGTCCAAAGATGAGGTGTTCTAAAGGATCTGACCCTAGTGGAGAAGTTGTGCCTGGCACAGCTGGGTCTTTGACTCTGTGGAAGGTCAGACTACCTCTTTGCAAGCAGTTATACAAAATAAGAAAATGTGGAGGAAAAGCTGACTAGAGAGCTGGGAACCTAGCATATATCCTTTCTCCTAACTATTCATCCAAGTTCACCATATTTGAAGTGTCTACTTCCCATTGTTTGCCCAGCCACTTTTTTATTTTTTTTCACACGCTGCCATATTTGAAACTTTCCCCAAGTATCATCCTAAGTCTAATGCCCCTACTCCTAACTGGCTCTCATTTCTTTCCTTCACTGCTAGTCAGAAGGGTGATTGTTGAGCTCAAACTCTCAACAGGTCTGGTCATGACATACCATTCTCCTGAAAAACCTCCAAGGGCTGGTGCTGCCTTTCCCATAAGGACCAGCCTCCAAAGCATAGCCTTCGAGGCCCTGCCTGACAGTCGCTTGGCCAACCTCTCTGCATTCATCTCCACCACACCCCACCTTTCATGCTTCAAAGCAGCCACAGAGTTCCCAATGCATTTCTCTAAACCGCCATGATCTCATGTGTCAAAGGGACACCGGAGATCACTCCCTCTGTCTGTAGCTCCGGCTCAGGTCAGAACTCAGCTTTTCTGGCTTCAGCGGAGTGTTCCCTAACCCTACAATCTCCGCTTGAACACTCTTGTTAGTCATTTCCTTTTGTCTCTGAGACAGAGTTCCTGAGAAGCACAACTTCACGGAGGAATAATTTATTTTGGTTAACAATCTCAGAGCTTCCAGTCCACGGCTGGCTGGCTCCTTTGTTGTTAGGTCTGGGGCCTTGGCAGAAGGCTTTGGTGGAAGAAAGCTGTTTACCTGAGGGCATCCAGGAAGCAGAAAGAGACAGAGGAAGGGGGTGGGGTCCCAGAACATACTTCGAGGATCATGTTTCCTCCGTCTCAGCCCTACCTCTTAATAGTCCAATCAGTGTGACTTGAACAATGGATTAACCCATGAATGACCTGGGTGCTCTCACTATCCACTCATCTCCCAGTAGCACCACCACCTGGGCCTCAGCCCTACAACCCAGGAGCCTTTGGAGGGACACCTCTTAGGAAACACCCACCCTTCATAGCCCAGGCTCTCCCAGCCATCCCACTTTAGAGTACTGGTCACTCATTATTCCTTGCTTCTCTGTTTCTAGTAGATAGGAATCTCCTCAAGTAAAGGACTGTGCCCAGTTAGAAAGAGGATAGAGGCAGCGAAGGGGTAAGATAAATTATACACAAATGGTTTGATAAACAAATATTAAAAATAGTTTTTAATGCCGGGTGGTGGTGGTGGTGGTGGTGGTGGTGGCGGCGGCGGCGGCGGCGGCGGCGGCGGCGGCAGCCTTTAATCCCAGCACTCAGGAGGCAGAGCCAGGCGGATCTCTGTGAGTTCAAGGCCAGCCTGGTCTACAAAGTGAGTTCCAGGAAAGGCGCAAAAGCTACACAGAGAAACCTTGTCTCAAAAAAAAAAAAAGTTTTTATAGAAACCTATTTATATTTAAAACATTTAGGGTTTCTAAAGCTGAGATCATTTATGGCATTATGGAAAAGGCTTTGAAGTATGACAAAACTTTACAACCAGGGAGAACACGTGAACTCTTTGAGCCTGAGGAGAATGGCAAAGGGTTTCGCTTGGCTGACAGGACGCTGAGGACAAAGAAGCCCAGAAAACAGCCTAGAGTTGGGTCACCAAGGACTTCCAATGCTGTGCCAAGGGGTCACGGCTCACTCTGAAGGCGACTGGGATAGGAAAGGTGGTTTTGTTTTTTTGTTTTTTCAGCAAATGAACTGCTATTTTGGGGTAAGAAAGAACATTCAGGTAACCAGGTGAAAGAAAAATTGTGGAGTCTGGAGATGATAAGTTGGCTGGAGACCATTTCAGCCTTGGGCTGAGGCAAGGGTAGGATAGAATAAGATAAGAGGCTCTGGGAAGAAGGCAGGTAGCGTTGACTGCTAGAGAAGAAAGAGCCCCGTCAGCGGAGAGTGTGGTACGGCAGACAGACACAGTGCGGCTGCGCGCCGAGCTGAGTATCTGAAACAATACTCCATTGGGAGGGACACTGCTCAGCACATGCTGAGAATAGTGTGCTCCACGCTGTGCACTGCACTTGAACTTTGAAAGGACATTTCATAAACATAGTGGGACCCATAAAGGGAAGAAAGATCCCGGGAAGGTGACCGACATCTGAAAAGTGGACCAATGCTCTTCAGTTGGGTGCACAAGTGTGTATGTACATGTGTGTACGTAGAACAAGGGGTAACAGTCACAAATTCCTTCATGTGTCTGAAGGGCATTCTAAAAAGATGCTAAACATATCCAGTGAGCAAAACTAAGGCTGAGAACAAGCTGACTTTACCCAAAAGCACAACAAAGCCTACCTTGTCAACTGAAGAGCTCACCTGACCATGTGAACAAACAGAGTAAAAGATCTTCTTGGGACTTAATGAGGAATTCTGGGGTTAGATTGGAAATGGGACTATGTTCTAACACTCCTAGGGATTTTATGTTCCTTTCTAGCAGAGGCCTAATTCACGCCAACTTTTCCTTCCTTCCTTCCTTCCTTCCTTCCTTCCTTCCTTCCTTCCTTCCTTCCTTCCTTCCTCCTTCCTTCCTTCCTTCCTCCCTCCCTCCCTCCCTCCCCTGCCCCTTCTTTCTTTCTTTCTTTCTTTCTTTCTTTCTTTCTTTCTTTCTTTCTTTCTTTCTTTCTTTCTTTCTTTCTTTCTTTCTTTCTTTCTTTCTTTCTTTCTTTCTTTCTTTCTTTCTTTCTTTCTTTCTTTCTTTCTTTCTTTCTCTCTCTTAACACAGATGAAATGTAAAAACTTCTGAGACCACAAAATCCTAACAGGGAAGATAGAATGTATTATATAGCACAACTCTGTTTCCTGGTGGAGGAGGATGGGGTTTTCAGGTGTCCTCTGGGTACTAGAGACCTCTACTTTCCTGTTCAGCTGTATTCCCCTCTCTGGAAAATACAATGTTCTACTTGGGCCAGTGTGGGCCCTTCTGGTCCTACAGACCAGCCATATGGCGGTCAAGAACTGGCACCATCCATTGTCAGGTATTGAAATCCTCCCCTCTTGGTGTTTTCAAACACAGGACAACGTAAATGCACTGTACAGATCTCTACCTGTAAGGAGTCTATTTTCCTGTGCTGAGGTTCTCTGTCTACCTTAACCTTCCTCCAC